AAAAAGTAGTCGTAGAGGGAAAAGTGCAAACTAAATGGGAAGAGTGTTAAAGGTAGCATACTGGTGGACCAAGAAAAACATTCAAAGTTCAGGACAGAACACTTAAAGCAATATGTCTTAAACATGAAAGGCACAATGAAACAAGAACAAATTTGAACAAACAAAGAACAAACTTGATTCAATGTTTGTGACTGAACTGTTAGAAACCACCTAAAGGATGGAGGATATACATGTAGAGAAGCTCACTGTAAGCCATCATTAATACCTAAATGGAAGAAAAGAAGTTGTGGACTGATAACTGGAATAAAAGCCATTTAGTGATTAATTGTGGATCTCCAATGCGCAACATTATGATGCTGAAACTTTTGTTAGGACAGTTTCTGAAATTTATAAACACTGTCTAAATAGACATCAAAATTTCTACAGTCATTGACGAATTGGTGTAAGCGATGGGTAACTAAATGACATTTTCAATAAATCCACAAGTTTACAATGACATTTTGGTCATTGTTGTTATCCATCAATTGAAATTCTGTATTGGGATGGTTCAATCATTTTTCAGCAAGATAATGCGTCTTGTTGAAAGGTTCCTTAAGGAAAGACACAGTCAATTTGAAGACCTGCAAATAGTCCAGATCTCAATCCAACTGAAAATCTGGGAACATGAAGAAAATGAACAATGTCAAGGCTCCAAACTTCAACGATCTGACAAAAGCAATCCGAGAAAGTAGGACCCAAATCGATGAAGACGGTAATTTATTCACTCCATGCCTCAGAGGCTGCAAGCACTTAAATAAGTCAGAAGTGGTACGACAAAGTGGTGTGTCAGTGTCCTGTTGTTTTTTTCTTTTTTAGGATTCTGGGTTTTCTTTCTCAGAATTGGGTAATTCCATAATCTTCCATCTGCTTGAGCTAAAACAAACTGATGTTGACTATCAACATGTTTTTTTTCCCCCTGCTATCTTTAATGTTTCTTATAGGAGAAGTTGCCATTTAGAATGACTGTAGTTCTATGTTATGTATGTGATCTTGTTTTCTACAACAGTAAACTGAATGAACATCCTATGAGACTGGCGAAACCATCATTTTTGCCAGAAGTTGTATTATCAGTCAAGAAAAAATTGTTAAATAGGTATTTAAATATTAAGGTTTTTTGTCAATCATATAGATATAACATTAGCTGCTGATTGAAAGCCATCACTCTGGTCATTGTCTTAAAAAAGGCTACTAAATTTATATCTACATTTACCTTGACTCTGAATGAAATAGCTGTTCTTACCTCAAGGGTTATCAATTAGCTTAAATTATTTTGAATGAAGAAAATTATTGCAAGGTGTTTTTTTTGTTTTTTTTTTTGTTTATCCAGTTAACAAATAATTTCCATTCCCGAAACTACTTTTTCTGTATATTGCAAAACATGATATGAGACTTAGTTTGATTTGGATCGGTTTTAATGGTTAATGTGTGGATAAATTATATAGTACAAATGCACTTGAACGTTTATTTTGAATTCAATTAAATAAGAATAGCCTGCCAAAACTTGGGAGTAAAATATGTTTGAACTACTGTGAGATATGACATATGGAGGACATATTTCCATAGCTGTACCTGAACGCAGCATGTTTAGTTTGGGGTGGGTGGGAAATCCCCTCATCAACGGGATTCCACCGATTTCATCGGAGGTATCGAGTTTGGTATCGTTTGGTGCTACGGGTATCCACTTGGACGTTAGGTAATTTTTTCCCCCCATTGTGAGTCATGTTAACATATTGCTTATTTGTTTATTTTGTTTTTTTATTTCAGCTAAACTGTACAGTATAATCCAGAGAAGCTACTCACTGCTAGTTTAATGTATATAAATAATATAAAGTGCTGGTACGACCCATTGCTATTTTACCACTGTAATACCAGTAAAAAAAACATTGATCTTCCAAAAACGCAAGAGTTGAGTCACCTATAGAATGTTTAGGTGTTACATATAAATGTTGCGCTACAGAACACTGCATTGCGCAATTGGTTCCGCTGGAAATTTCCATCTGCTCAGGATTTGTTCGTTCGGTACATCATGTTTCTATAGTAGCGATAGAGAATAACCAGATTTTTGCGTTTTTTTTTTTTTGTTTGTTTTTTACGAATACAACACTACAAACATGAAGAGATTATTTAAGAGCGTGATTTAAGTGAACCTTGCCCCACGCCAAAATGTAAAGATTGGGATCCAGTTATTCTAATCTTTTTTTTTTTTTCTCTCTTATTGTTATTACACTGTCACAAGTACAGAGCAACGAAATTAAGTCTGCATTCAACCCATCCCCTTGGGGAGCAGTGTGTGGTTAGGTGTCTTTGCTCAGAGTGGCAGTCTGTGGGAGTGGGGCTTGAACTGAGAGTATCAGGATTCCAAGCTCCAGGGGCGTGCACACATAGACACTAGGTGGTGCTAAAGCACTAGGAAGTTTGCCCTCTATCAAAGAAAATGCCCTTTTGAAACTCGTTTTTTTTTTTTTTTTTTTATTAATATTATTAAGATTTTACTGAGGTCGGTTTTGAAATTATCTTTTGAAAACCTGAGCCATTAAAAACGACTGAAACAATGCCCCGAAATGACCGACCTACTTGCGCACAAACGACCCTCTCTCTCTTCCTTTGTCACGTGAACTCGCTCGGTCGCCCGCAGGGCATGCCAGATGCGCAGCATCATAGCAGTTTTCAGATAGCAGGAACGGTCGCTGACAGGCTGCTTCTCCCGTGCCCCATTAGCCAGGTAATATACAGATCAAGCAGAATCATTTTGTTGTGCATTAAAATGTCTCATTCAGCAGCACCAAACACGCATTTTGCCGACTGGTCACCAGATAAACTAGTTGTCTCCTTGTAAGATGCTATTTTACTTTTTATGTTTTGTATCCATATTTTTTATCTTAAGTGTATACATTAGTCTATTTTATTGCATGACGTATACCCACAGTTTTTAGATATTTTTATAATTTTATTTACCTATTCCATATTATATGTTTCATGTTGCACGATTGTACCATAAAAAAATCCTAGTTTGTGAACTCCTTCACTAACAATGGCAATAAACCTGATTCAGATTCTGAAAGTTTTACACTGTAGCCCAAGTCAATGACAGATAACGTGAGGACGACCACATAGGCTACAAATAATTTTGGTAGAGTTTGCAATTGCAAATACGGAAGAGGATTAGGGCCACTGAAAAAAAAAAAAAAAGTTAACTGATTTTTAAATTTTATTTCAGTTTAGTATGGGAAAAAAGTCAGAATGCTGACTTTAATCTCATAATTCTAACTTTTTCTCATAATTCTGACTTTTTGCTGAGAATTCTGACTTTTTGCTCAGTATTCTGACTTTAATCTCAGAATTCTGACAATAAAAAAGTCAGAATTCTGACTTTTTTCCCATGTTAAACTGAAATAAAATTTAAAAATCAGTTAACTTTTTTTTTTTTCAGTGGCCCTAATCCTCTTCTCTACAAATCTATGTGTTAAGACAAACGTTTTCTGTTGTATAGGTTTTGTTAGGCAACATAAATTAACACATCTCTTTATTGTCTTAATTGTATATTGATTTAGTAATTGCAGCACAATACCAAGAAAGGAGGGTTAATCATATTGAAAAATCTTAAAAGCTGTTCACATTTTATTTTTAAGTGGTTTGTGCAGCAGGTATTAAAATAGCTATTATTTTGTAGGCTACCATAAGTCATATCCACGTGACAAGACTTCCAGTCATGTTGCCCTAATAGCCCATTATTTAAACTAATGTGGCATATTTTTTAAAGCTATTATTATTATTATTATTATTATTATTATTATTATCATCATTATTATCATTATTATTGTCATGATGGTTATTATTAATATATTGTAGCCAGTCACAGCAGGGAAGCTCTATACCATCAACATCTACCAGGACAGGAGATGAGGAAGAGTTCAGGGAAGACACAGAAACAGAAAAAGACCAGGATGAGGGAGAACAGATGGGTGAGGGAAAACAGGGAGATGAGCCAGATGAAAGAAGTATGCTTTAGTCTGTTCTGTTGGTGATGTGACTTTTTTCCATTGAAAAATCACGTTTAGAGAATGTTACAAATAAAAGTCAAATTTCATTCAACATGCGTTTATTTTTTTTTATAATTGTTACACATGCGCTAAAAAGTGCCCTCCCCCCCCTCCTGAGCACCTGCCCCCCAAAATGTCTGTGCACGCCTCTGCCAAGCTCCATGCCCTAACCACTAGGCCTGTTATGACATGTAAGGTGACACAATAACTTGATTCTTTTAGTGTTAGTTTTTTTTTTATTTTCTGTTTCAGTATCACTACGATCACTACAAACACTCAACATGACTCACACAGAATAGCTTGGTATTCATTTGTCACATGATATACAATGTATAACGTGCTTCCATCAGCATTACAAATGCTAGATTTACTGGTCATCTTCACAGTTATCTATAATAAACAAAAAACACCTTTAATGGGAAAATATAAACCAGTAAATGCATTCATATTTTTTAATCTTTACTTGTCAACATATCTTCCCAACATAGAAAGAAAAGCTCCCATAGATTGTTTATTTTCATATTGGAGTGTTTGCTTTAAATCTTAACCCTTCTTACATTCTAGCCTGTCCTCCCTTCACATTTTATTCTACCAACTTTTCTGCTATTTCATCTAATGATAATGTCAACAAACAGCATACTGGAGAGGCGTTTAGCCATTTGATTCAGGTGAGATGAAAAAAGACTCGGTTCCAGGCTTTATATTATTATTTTTTATGTATTTATGTTTTGTGAAATTGTCTAAGAGGGGCTCAGTACAAGTGTATACAAAATGACAAAATACATCTAAGTCAATATATACAGAGACGCAGATAAATGCTGGTGCCGTAGTCAGGGCAACTGCTTGGTTTATTTTTTCCCCCCCAACTTCCTTGTAGAAACCACGCCCATTTTCTGTTTCCTATATAACCGCTCTTCTAGCTTCGGCTTTCAATCGTACTTCAGCAGCTCTCACCTGCATAATGACAGAAAGCAAACGAACTCTCGTCTATTTGATCACCGGAGGCTGCGGTTTCCTCGGAAAGCATCTGCTTGATGTTTTGATAGAGAAGGAGAAAGAGCTGGCGGAGGTGCGGGTGTTTGACAAACACATAGACCGGAGCTTTAGCGAGCGGAGAGGCGCAGGTAAGGTTTTTTTTCACCGTTACACTGCTCAGTATTTTCTGCTTAGGTTGCTGATATGCGGTTTAAAAATATCTTTTGGGTTTTCATTCTGGAGAACATTTAAGCTACTCTGAGGTGTTTTTAAGTCTAATATGCTCTAGAATGAAGGCTGCTGAAATTATTACATTACTGTAACTAAAATTCATCCTTTTGTAAATTTAAATATCCCTATTTTTATTATGTTTACATTTTAAATACATATTTTCCTTTTTAAATAAAAAACAACATTAAAATTCTATAAATTTTATTGCATATTATTGGTCCATAGGGACCTTATTATGATTTAGATTAATATTTCTCTCAAAACTTCCTGTTTCAAAGTGGTAGTTTTTTCCTATCCAATTAAAATGACAGCCATGGAAAGTCTGCAGCTTTAGTTTCCTTACTAAATTATTTAGCACTTAACCTCTGTGCTTGGCTTTCTGTGGACTCCCTTAATATTCTATTTAAAGTGCTTATAATTAAGGTAAATTACCTTTTTAGCTGGATCAATGCACCAATCAGTGGATTTTTTTTTTATGTTCATGTTAATCAGGTATTATGAGATGGAACTAAAGCTTGGGGTGTGTTGTTTCAATGCCATTCATCAATAGATCAGAGTTGAGCCAAAACCATTGAGAAATGCCTCTGTGAGCCCTGTGTTAAGGCTGTTAAGGAAAGGAAAAAGGAGAATTTTCAAACTGGCTTAAACTGGTCAATGGTTTCATTTGTAGTTACACAGCAATAGCTCCTATGTGCAAAGGTTTAAAGTCTAGTTGATTTTTTTTTCTGCTTACATGACTATCAGCATTTAGAGGAAGGGACATGAGGGCAAAGATAAACCAGGAGTTCAAGAGCTTTTAAAATGATAACCTCTCTTTGCTTTGCTATCAGACTAATAGAGTTCCAAGAAGTGTGAGGTTAAAGTTTTTTTGTCATTTAAAGGGACAGCAGATATCAAACCTAAAAAAAAAAAAAAAACCTGTGAAAATTGTTCTAAGAAAAGAACATGTACAGGATTTCTGATCAGAAAAATAACAATGAACAAAAGAACCCGTGTAAAAAAAAACATAATGAGGCTCAATTAATCCAAACTGAAATAGTTTATTTTTTTCAATGCTTCTCAACTTTTACATGTTTGGGTTTTTGAGTACAGTGGTGGCGCCTCGCCTTGTGCGTCGCACTGGTAGATAATGATTTGCTTATAAGTAACCCTCTATGAACTTGCATGTGAATAAACCTATTTGACTTTATTGAGATTTGACAGAAATCCGCTTTAGTTCTGACTCTTTGCAGATTATCGGATAGCTTTAGCCTCTGAGGTCCTTATATCTGGATTTACACCAATTAATCTGAATTTATGGCAAATTAATCACCACTAAACGAATCCATCACTGTTATTTAATGGACTGAACATGGCATTAATTTTTCTTAATTGAGCACTAATGTGTTGCCACAATTAACCCTCTTTTAATGGTGAGTTTGTCAGAGATTCCTTATCTTGTCTAATTTAGGGATTTTTCAAAAGAAAATATCAGGTCTTATGTCAAGAAGTATAACTGCTCATATCTTCCTGCCCAATATTTTGTTTCCTTCTATATAATAATGGGTTGATTATATACATGTTGTTTCTTTCCTGTTTCTAACACAGATGATGTGAAAGTGACTACCCTCCAAGGAGACATCACAGATTACAGCAGCGTGTTGGTGGCCACCCGGGGGGCTGATGTCGTTATCCATGCTGCCAGCCTGGTGGATGTTTGGCACAAAATTCCGGAGGCCACGATCTACTCTGTCAACGTTACAGGTACGCCCTGGAGAGATATGGGTTTGAGTGAAGACAGGAAAGAGGAAACGATGAGAAATAAATTCTGAGGAAATCCACACCTGCGAGTTATTTTCCCAGGCTGGATCTTGTTTCTTAACTTCAAAGTGGATCAGGAAGTTAGACAATTATTTTTTTTTTTTATACTCATTTCCTGAAAACTGGGATGTGACTGATTCAATGTTCAAGGTCCAGATTTGATTTATGCTTCCCAAAGTTTTTCCATCAGAGGATTGATAAGGATTTTCTGGGGAACAGTGTCAAGGCATGTCTTAGATGCTTTTACCTTTCTACCCACCCAGTTTCAAAGGAATCAAATATTTCAGCGTCGGTTAAAAAAAATTATAAAGTGTTGGCATTCAAAGCTGCATGGAAGTTTATTTTAGCTGTGAAAAGCCTGACTGTTTAGACTTTGTCATGTTCCTGAAACTTGAAAGAGCTTACAGTCACAGAGCCACCATTTAGGGGGTAAAAATAAACCCATTCATTTGCCAATACACTCAGGTTTCAGCCTGTTGGCATAATTTCAGGTCTTGGTTAATTTCCCAAACTCAGATAAAAACATCAAGTGGATTTCCTAAGAAAGAAGGTGTACAATATGTGATAATTGAATTATGATAGGATTTATTTGATAGGAAAGATTTGAGGCCAATGCATACAAAAACACACGAAGAGGCACTGGAACCAGAAAGTTTAGGCTTCTTTAAACATTTAGTCTGTTTTTTGTCCTTTTCCAAAGTGTTGGTCTGTGTTTCTGAGTTTGGTTCCAACAAAATGCCCTGCACACAATAGTTTGTATTATTTTGCAGCCTTATCTTGGAAAACAGATGTCTGAAAATATCCCACAGACATCTTTGATCAATTGAGCAGCATTTTTTTGTTTCTAAAATAAAATAATAAAAGTAGGCACTCTGGGTCTGAATTTAAACAACAGATTCCTCATTAATAAAATAAATTGTATAACTTTAGATATTTTAGATTGATTCTCTTTAGCTTTTTGGGTGGACTCTGTGTTTGGCTGGGATCAGATAGTACTGAGTCAACAATTAGGACACCGGAGACTTTTGCTCTCTGTTGGCTGACGCTGCTGCATGCCTTTTTGTGTGCCTCAGTCCACAAAACCTGCAGAGGATGACGCAGCACATGGAGCCTGAGTTGATTATTTAGAGGATTCATTCCAAACAGCTGATTGTTCCATTATTCATGACAGCACAAAGGGAAGCTTTCTTTCTTTCTGAACTTTATTTTATAAGAGAAATTGGCTCCACCTGGTCTCACTTCCAGTTCTGTGTCAAGAATGACAAAAATTCAGAGAATCTGCTCTGGGCCAACAGAGGTTCTGCTTCAGGATCCCCTCTTTCCAGACTTTTGTCTCCCAGATTTATAAATTAGTCATGCAATGACATTCAGAACCTTTGTCTACCTCAAACTCTCAAGACATGCTGTTTTAATTTATTTTGGTTTGAGGCGAAAAACCGATAAAGAAATAATGGATTTAACTGTCCCATCTCTTTCTCTATTTTTTCATAACTTTGGTTGTGTTATTGCAAATGGCATACCATTTGGTTGGCTGATGTGTTTTTCAGTCGTTTTTCAGTTTCCTTTTCAGGCTGAATAGAACAAAATGTTTTCTTCTTTTTTAGACCCCCATTCAATATAATGCAATTCAATAAAAATAAATAAATTTAAAAAAGAGTTTTTAAATCTTTAAATTGTTGTTTTTGCTTGTTTCGTATAGGTAGATATGGAATAAAATTTAGGAAAATTAAGATTTTTTAAAATTGATTTGGGAATAATATTAAATGAATTCAATGAAACAACACAAAAGGCTCTTTTTACTGTAGTATCTTTTAGAAGTTCTATTTGCTCCCAAGTGACACAAAAATTACCTACAGTGCCCTTAAATATTGACTGACTGTTATCTGCTGCTGAAAAACTAAAGTATGGACAAATTAACATTTGAGCTGGGGAACCATCCATCTACTTGGAATCTGAATCCAATTTAATATTTCCAAATGACAAAAAGATCATATAAAATGAGGTTTCCTGTTTCCACTTATCATTCCTTGAGTTCTTTTCAATGGAGGTCCACATTTAATTGGTGCAAAAGTGGTAGGGAGCCTTTGATATGAGCCCATGTGGATCCAATACTCTTGTTTAAAACATGTTTACACAATCCTTGTGCATTATTTACTGGGTGTACAGTGACACAAGCACAGTCCAATTTAAAAAGTCGCAATGGATGTAATTTATTTTAATGCTAAGGGAAAATTAAGCTTTCTTTTTAAGGCATCCAGTTTCACCCGTGTAGATTCACAAGAAACAGAGAACCAGTTTTTGATGTTGAACGTTTTTTTTTTTTCCTGTCATCTCAGGAACGGAGAATGTGATCAAAGCGTGCGTGGAATGTGGCGTTGAGCGCCTTGTCTACACAAGCAGCATGGAAGTGATTGGACCCAACCTCAATGGAGATCACTTCAAGAGGTAAAATTCATTTTTCCGAATTAACAACAGCATATTTCCTCTTTGAGGTTCTTTTTTTTCCCTGCAAACTAAGCAACCACCTGTTGTTAATTTAGGCTCCACTTTGTCAGATAGTTTGGCCCCATCCCTTCCTGCTTCTCTATGGGAATCAACAGTAGTTCATCAACATGAAGGCTGCAGATAATGATTGAAACTGGATAGATTGAGTTGCTGATAAGGTTTTCAGGGATACTTAAAATTTTATTTAGGGAACAAATCTGTATAAAAAACAAAACAGCTTTTGTTTTACTTCCTTGTCATATCACCATAGTAGCGCCCCACTATGAGAGTCTGATCAAAAAGACATTTAGCGTTGCTGTAGACCCAGTCTGTGTCTTGGATCTCAAACATGCCTCGGTATTCATCAGAATTTAGAGTATAAACAGAACCATCACTCATGCTTTATTATTATTATTATAAGCATTCCCCATCACAGACAATCATCAGCTCACTTTTATAATGATGTCTGTCGACCTTGTCTAGACTAAACATTCTGAGTTTGAATGTTGGTGCATCAAAGAATAAAGGTTACATCAACATCCCACTTCATTCAAAATGACTAATTTGTAATAGCATGCTGTCTAAAGACATCTGTGCTGTTTTTGTGAGTGGTATTCTTTAGTAATCATCCAACCACAGACGCGCACACATAATTAGAGACGCAGAGCCCGAGTCGTGCTGATGCTAGTTAAAACCATATGATTATTTCCCATTTATGCCCTGTCTAATCCTGTTTATTTTGGAAAGAACACACACAGTCATTGTTTGATGAGGAGTTTGAGTCTCAACAAAGGGAATCTGACTACGGTACTCTGGAGTTTTATTACACATTAATACATTTAGAGCCTAGGTTAAGCTGATTATACGTGCAAAATATGATTTGTGTTTTTTTGTTGTTGCTTCCAAAACAATTCATCCAAAGGCAAGGCTGCAAGTTATGTGGAGCAAAAAGTAGCTTTACCCCTTTAAATTGAAAAGTATTGTTTATTAAGCAAATAAATGCGATGCATAGAAAGTAAATGAAGGCATCTGCTGATGAGGGGATGCTTGGATTTTTACATGATCAGCTTTTTTTAAATATCATGTCTCATTGTCTGACCTTCCAGTTCGTTTGGTCTAAAACATGAGGCACTCTATATAACAATACAGCAGAAATATTGCTGTTATCGAGAAAAAAAAAAAAAACTGGATCCAAGAGCAATAGTTGGCATTATCTGTTTATTTGACATGGTCTCTGGATTTCCGAGTGTGCTGATTTAGGTGAACCTTTACATGAACTGTATTGTGTTAAGGTGAGATCATAACAATAAAACTGATTTATTGCTTTTTTTCAAGTTGAAGCAAATTTGGAATATTGATATGGGATGTAGGAAACTTCAGTCAAGACTTGCTGTGGCAAACCTCAGCAATGCTTCTGCTGAAAGAGCTGCTGTCTGCTCCAAGTGTTGTCTTTGCCTAATGGCATGTATAGCACTGCGGCATCACAAAATAACTTCTCCCTCTGATAGAGTTACAACATGAAGTCATTGTGTAAGAATGAAGCTTGAGTTGCTTTTGTAAGAGAGATGTGCTCACTTTACGTAGATAAAAATTCTGAGAAAATTAAACCTGCGAAATTCTGCATAGAATTGTAAAACATTATATTATTGTTATATCAACACATTTTTGTTTTTTGCAATTTCTTTAGAACACATTCTTTTGATTTGGGCAGAAGGTCAAGGAAACTCTATCTGCTTATGTTACATTTTCTATGTATAAATGTGGATTATCTTTTCCTCTGTCAAAATTCCAGCAACTCCCACCTTAACGAGAAACATATTTTGGCTTCATTATTTGTATTTTTTATGCTATGACGCATTAAAATTACTTTCTACTCCATGTTAAAAAAAATTATCTTTCTTTGCAGAGGCAATGAAGACACAAAGTATGAAATCAAGCACACTATGGCCTATCCCAAGAGTAAGACAAAGGCAGAGAAAATGATCCTGGAGGCCAATGGCAGAAAGGTAATACTGGTAAAAACTTTTTATGGACTTTTAACCACTTATTTGCAGGGCATATTTATTTGAAACAGCCCATTTGGGAAATTGAGATTATGATGCATCATAGTAAATACATTTTTTAAACTTTAATAGAACTATGTAGGGAAGTTTCTCCATATCCCCGCAACATGCTGTTATGCTAAACTCCATACAGCTGTAGTATATTTATTGGCTGTCAAACTTGGTTTGGTTTAAACGTGAAGTCTTTAGTGCTGGGTGGAAGGCAACTGTACATTCTCAGTTTTGAGTGAAAGTCCAGTTGCCTTCCAGCTGGGGGGCGGGAGCTTGTGCAATGTCTTTGCCACAGAATGCCAGGCTCCCTCCCTTATTGCTTCATTGCAAAGTGTTTTCAGCAGTTTGCAATCCAAACAATAAATCTTTACGCTGAGCTATCTGGGGTTGTCTCTGTTTTTCTACTATTTGGTTGAAGCCATTACAGTTTCCTGACAGGTTCTTTTTTTTGTTTTTTGTTTCTCCTCAGGTGAGGGGGGGGAAGTGTTTATACACCTGCTCACTAAGACCGACGGGGATCTATGGCGAAGGTCACCAACTAATGAAGGACTTCTACAACCTGGCTGCAGAACGGGGAGGCCTTGTTATTGGGGGTATCCCAGATCACATTGAACATGGGCGTGTCTATGCAGGTAAAAACATCAACATTTCAAAAAATGAAAGCTACTTTTAAGAGACAAGTTTGTTGTATTTCTTGCATACGCTACAAATCAAGCTTAAGTCAACGTTTTAAGGCAGGATACTCAGGGTAAATAGATTTCAAGGCACAACATGTTAAGATCAAATCAGACCAGAGCTAAAAGCAGAAGCATGTAACACCCACACTTCCTTCATGTTTCTCAGAAAGTTTTACATATTTGTATCTGATAATTATCAAATTCATGCAGGGTCACACTTAGACTCTAAAACACCTGCTCCAAGCATGTACAGGAAGCAAAGCAGAGAGATGCTTCACATAATTACATAACAGCCAGAACACGGTTGCTTTGCTTATTAACCTTCTCATTAAAGAGCCAGTATATATCTCTTCTTGTTGGGCTTATCTCGTCTTTAGAAATGTACACATTTTTCTCTGCCGTTATTTGTATAAAAATATTATCACCGTCTCTGCTAATGCTGCAGTAGGGCTCTCCACCATGGTACAAAGCAAGAGATATCCAAAATCCAAAACTTGGTTAGTTGTAACAACATGTGCCCTTCACAAACCTGGTTCTTATGGAAGGCCAGGTGGAAACAAGTTTAAAAGCTGCAGGATGCATAGAAAACATTAGAGAACAGGATCTTCTCAGATCAGACTCAAACTTAACTTGTCCTAGCGAGGGAAAGCTGGTGGGAGATAGTTCAGCAGGATAGCAAATCTAGACATCCAGCCAGAGCTAGGTTGAGAACAGGAAAAAACTCCTCTCCTTTTTATTTATATACCACCTAAAAATACAACTCTGCTTCAACATCAAAACAGCATCCATATATAAAAGCTGCGGGTCACTACCCCGCTAAAGCCTAGAGTTTAAAAACCCTTGATTGTTTTCCAGGCTCTTATCCAATCTGACTGCGTTTGAGTCTTTTTCCAAAGAAGTTGTTAAATATTACAGTCGGGCAGCAAAGCTGGTAGACACATTAGCGAAAAAAAACTTTTAACTTTCATCCATTTTTATCATATTTAAATTTGAATGATACATTTTAATATATGTTCATTAATTATTTAACTACATTATGCCACTCCAGTGTACTTTTTTTCAGTCAGCACAATGAAAAGTGATATATGAATAAACTTGCCTTGACTTGTAGCTTTAATTGTAGTGAAAGGTTGTTCTTGACTGAAATTACTCAGGGGAGCTAATTACAAAGGCACAACACACTGTACTGTACTTAATTTAGATATTTTAATCCATGGTATGAGCAACCACCTTAGAGACTATAAAAAAAATCTCCACCCTAACTGGATATCTTTTGCAGAGCTTCATGGCATTAATTTAATTGTCCTAATTCTGTTTGTGTTACCAGGTAACGTCGCTTGGATGCATGTCCTTGCAGCTCGAGCCCTGAGAGGGAATCCTGGGAAAGTTGGTGGTGAAGCTTTTTTCTGCTACGATGACTCCCCCTATAAAAGCTACGAGGACTTCAACATGACATTGCTGTCTGAGTTCAACTTTCGGAAGGTCCGCATGCCTGCAATCGTTCTGTTGTTCCTGGCCATCTTAAATGATTTTCTTCGCTGGATACTGAGTCCAGTATACAACTACACACCACTGCTTAACCGATATACGCTGGCTGTAGCCAGCACCACCTTCACAGTGCAAACGGACAAAGCACAGAGATATTTCCAGTACCAGCCCCTCTATGATTGGAATCAGTGTTTAGCACGTACACAAACGTGGATCAGAACTTTTCCGTCTAAACCAAAGAACTGTTAGTATTTCCTCAACCACCACAGCGTTTTCAGACCCCAATTCTGCAGGCAAGCAGGATCCAGATCAAGAACGACTTGCTGCTCATTAAAATACTGTGAGCTATAAAAGGCAGTGAGAGCATTTTTAGTCGCTCGTATCAAATCATAAATCACATCTTAATCACAAGAAATGACCTATTCTGGCTCTTTCATCTGTAGTTAATAACTAGATACATACAAAAATATATGTCTAGTGCCTTGTTACCATGGAGATTAAATATAGCACAATTTACGGAAATGGTTATTTTTGTAACTGTGACTCGTGTCCGTCGATCTCATCTAGTTACAACCATGTCTTTACCTTCTAGTACTGCATGTCTTTAAACATATTAAAGAACAGAATATGTAAAATATATGTTAAAAGGAAAAGCAATATGCAGTTCAGAAATGCAACTATGACCAGTGGCTTTTAAAGCTGCTTTATAGACATGAGCGTTTCAAAATTAGACTCCTTTTCTCAGAAAGGGTTTCATTCTTAAGAAAGTATGTTCCATCTGCAAGTCAAAGAGGTTGGTCTGAGCTATTGTATCAGCTATTTTGTCAACTATTGTATTTAAAGAGCAATACACTTCATGGTAAGCTAAAAAAAAAACAACAAAAAACATGAACCCATGTAGCATTAAAATGATCTCCTTATGCATTGACTTAACAAATAGAAGTCTGTAACCTCAAGTTTTGTCAAAAGGAAAAACCTGTGTAAATAGAAATATTTGTATAATATTAAAATGTTATTTAATTGTAATAATTTTATGACTGCAAATAAAAAATATTTATTCTTCATGAGCTTTGTTTTCAACTTATATTTCCTTGACTAGGTGGAGATGTTTTGTATTTTTTCTGAATTATATAACACCTGGAAACGGTGTTTTTCTTTCTGTTTTTGTTTTATTTTGTCTGTGAGAGTGTTTGTCTCCACATGCATCACGTTTCCTTAACACTCAATAACTGGTAACTCTGGAAACCAAGCGCTGTTTACATATACTCATATGGAACAGGGCCACTCCCTTTTTATTCTTGTGCGAGCGTGCCATTGAAGCGCCAGCCGGATTACATTTGTTTGACGAAACCAAAGGGAGTCCCTGGTCAGCATGACTATTCAAATGGAATGTTTTTGGAGTATCCCGTGTTTCCGAGATTTCCATATCAATTGTAACCAAAAACAGTAAAGTCTGAAAGGGTGGGACAAAAGTGGCAATCCCAAGATTTGAGATGGGGACTCGTTAAGATCAAAATGTGAGCACATGTATATGCGTATGTATACATATATATGTGTATATATATATATATATATATATATATATTTATGCTATATATATATATATATATATATATATATATATATATATATATATATATATATATATATATATATATATAGCAGCGGCAGATATTCTTTCATGTAAACCATAGAATATCTTTCTATGGTTTACGTTCAAAAATGTAAACCAAAAAAGAGAGATAGAAAATGGATTTCTGGGTGCTACCTCTGCAAGTAAGCAGGGTTAAAATCTAGTTCTGCGTTATACAAAAAAAACCCCCAAAAAACATTAATATAACGATGCCTTATTCCTTTAATTTGTTTTATTAAAAACACTTTTATACTTTAACCAACTATAAATACCATTTTTATTTCTGAGTGTTTCGCTAGCAAAATCCAAATATGTGGTTTGGAATGATTCATGTAAATCACCCAATATTTGGAAAAAAAAAAAAACGTTTTTTTTTAGTACTAGATTTTTTTTAATGGAAAATACTGACTCAGTTTTAGTGAAATAAAGTCAAAGTAAGGTCTTCTGAAGCAAATTTGGTTTATGTAAGTTCTCAACAAATGTCATCTCAAGGGACTTTACAAGTAAAATAGGTCGGACTCATGCATACACTAGCATACACTTATACACATTCATAACATATTCCGATCACATAGAAAATGACTTTGCATGTAATACTGTCTAACCTGCTCCTAAATTACCAAGTCTTATCCATTTTTCCTGTCTAAGAAATAATATAAATGTTTGTACAGAAAGCCACGGGTACAGTAGATCTACAGGGTAAGATTCAGAGTTTACAGAGTCTCTGCAGCACATTTAGTTATTCTGCCCAAAAAATAGGCAAGGCAGATGTTCAGGTCATTGCTCTTTTATTGAAACCAACAGGGACAAAATAATATTGTGTAATTTCTTGAATCAACTTGTGTTTTAGTTTATGTTTAACCTAAAAAGGTCTCCATAGGGTTGGAATTCTGAGTTGGAGCAGTAGCACCATCTAGTGGTAAAAAAATAAATAAATAAATAAATATATATATATATATATATATATATATATGTATATATATATATATATATATATATATATATATATATATATATATATATATATATATATATATATATATGTATATATATATATATATATATATGTATATATATATATATATATATGTATATATATGTATATATATATATATATATATGTATATATATGTATATATATATATATATATATGTATATATATGTATATATATATATATATATATGTATATATATGTATATATATATATATATATATATATATATATGTATATATATGTATATATATATATATATATATATATGTATATATATGTATATATATATATATATATATGTATATATATGTATATATATATATATATATATATATATATGTATATATATGTATATATATATATATATGTATATATATATATATATATGTATATATATATATATATATATATATATATATATATATATATATATATATATATATATATATGTATATGTATATATATGTATATATATATATATATATATATATGTATATGTATATATATGTATATATATATATATATATATATGTATATATATGTATATATATATATATATATATATATATATATATATATATATATATATATGTATATATATATATATATATAAATAAGAAAAAGTGCTTTGAGGGAATACCCCAGCCGCTAATTTATTGATTGGTTTAATCAAACGATCGCTCCGCTATCGCATGTTTTAGTCAATTGATCAATTACACGACAACAAATGCCGATTTTGTTTCAATAATCGAATGGGTCAACCTTCAAAGTGTTTGTAGCAACTGGGAAGGAAGACCACTATGCGTGTGCGTGCCCGTCAACATTGACGAGAACGCGCACGTAGCTGTCAGTAGGAAATACTGTTCGTGTTGGATGGTTGCACCCCTGCGCCTCTACTAGGATATATTAATGACACCTTTGTTTTTTCCGATTCAGGATGTAAACGCCTTATTTGAATTTTGGCATCAATTTCGTAGCAATTCGGAAAGCCATTCTGATGCATTTAGCTAGCCAGGCTAAGTGAAACGGGATACCAATAGCATTAATGCTAATAGCTAAATAAGGCTAAAATAAGCTAAGTTAGCAGGACGGTTGCTGTCTTCTAACTGTTCGCTTCGTCTAGCAGCTCCTATCCTGGTTTGTCCTTATCGCGTTGTCTGTACACAGAGCAGTTGTGCAGAACCGGAGCTGTGGCGGGGAAAGGTGGCTACAGGAACCCCCTGGCTATCCAGGCGGACGGACCGCAGTGACACGCCGGTTGTTGGTGAGTTGAAACGCGGGGGTAGAGTTAGAGCTGACCGGGGCACTGGGCAGGGCGAGGCCGTGGACGCTGCTCGCTCAGGGCCCTTTCAGGCAATGCGGGTGTTAACTATTAGTAAACCATTAGCTCTGAATCGGGAAGTTGAGTCGCTTCGGCCTTCAGAGAGGATATGACAACAAAGACGCCGATGCTATTTGGTGCTGAAGCACCTTACCGCTAAGCTGCGTGGTGGCAACCACAACATACATGAAGCTGCTTTATCAGCACATTGCTGGATCACCATGGTTGTCCGGACGCTGTGTTTAGGTTACTTGCTTATGCACTGCTTTATTTATAGCCAAATAATTTTTGCTTGTTGCAAATTATATCCATTTATTAATTATTTTGTCTAAAGCATTCAGGTCTTGAGTATAGAGGAGTATAAAAGAGTAAAAAACCCATTCATACTAGTTTGATTTCTGAGCATTTTGCAATGGCTATTGTGGTTTCCAATTGATCTATTTTATCTCTTTAAAAAAAATGTAATGACATAAAATCCAGCAGAATAATTTCCCTAGAAGTTAAAATGCAGAGTTTAGTAAAATGATTTGTTCATTGTTCCCAGAATGATTTAAGAGTTTTGCATAGAATTTACTTTACTCGGACTACCGGTACTTACTCCTTCTTGGATGCACCTAAATTTCCCCCAACCTCTCTTAAATATTGTAAACAAATCATTTACTTGTACTTAATTGAATAGTACTCAAAGTGCCACCTGGCAAAATTGAGTCCCTTTGATTCGATTAGTTTTTAAAAAAAATCAATCTCATTAGCCTTTATCAAAAAAGCTTTTCTAAAGCATTTCTTTAAATAAAACATTTAAGCAAAAGTAAATAGATAACCTTTTATTCTCTACTATGTAACTTGGATTATTCTAGGTGGTAACTAATTTCATCTTTCCTAGGAATGTTTCTGTAACTTAATTTCAGTCCATTGCTAAATTCAGGAGAAAATAAAACAAATACAAATCAAGCACTATCTTCTATCTAATGTATAACATTTTATATGAGGTTCTATAGTGGACAACACCAGAGGGAAAACAGACAAAGGGGTTGTCTGTAGACCTCCCAAGACTGGAATAAGTCTTAAGCATAAATGTTATGATAGATTTAAAAAATCTAAGCCACACTGTCCAACAAACTCTGTCCCCGCTGTGATTTTAAAATAAAAGGAGTTTTAGGCAAACAGGAACTTCCATGGATCTGTCAGCCCAACCATACAAAGAATCATGTGCTCACTAAGACTGAGCTCCAGTGTTTTATGAGTGGAGATTGGAGAACCTACCAGAAGGTCAACCATTGCTAATGCATTCTGCTATCAGCCCTGTTAGAGTTGCCCTTTACTAAAAGATACTTGATAGCCTGCTTAAGTTTTGGTCAAAAAGAATGATTTTGATCAGAACAATAACCCGAAGACACTAAAACATAACGTATTTTCCTTGTACACTATTTGATATGTCTGTAGAAAAGCATAAACTGCTCATAATCTGGCAAATACTATTTCCAAATATGTTGGTGGCAGCATCATGCTGTGATGTTGGTTGCTGTTAATGTAACAACCAATTCTCATCAAGGGTAACATGACAGCAGCCAAATATTCTGTAAGAAAACCTGCTCCAAAGTCCTCAGGAACTAAGACGTAATGATGTTCAACTAGGTGTAGAGTATCTGTAGCCTGGGTGCCAGTCAGAACTTAGCCCCGCCCACAAGGTTTGAGTTCGGGGAAGTTCGGTCTGGCTCTGCTCCATAGTAGTGCGAGTATTATCGCCCACTGTCAGGCGATCCAATCAAATTGTCAGGGCGGACTTTATACGATGATGGACAGATGATCAAGAGTAACGTAATCAACCACGTGACCAAAGCGCGCTTGGGTGACAACAATAATGGCTGCCGCTGGAGAGTTTGGGTGAGTAGATTCTGCTATTACGTCTGTTCTAGAAGATATCGACAGCAAATTAATTTTAAAAGACGAACAGAGAAACGCGATCAAGTCTCATCTTCTTATTCTAGGCGTGAAACTGCACGCTTTGCCTCGCTTAACATACGTCACGCACTCCGTTGCTCTTATTGGTTGTAGGTCTATCCAATTGAGTGCAGAGGCATTTTTTTTCCTGGTTCGTTCGAAACACGCCCCATAATCACAGCTCTATGGAGCAGTATCAGACTCATATTCTGACTAGAATTGAGTCGGACTACGTCAGGCTAGAGTATCTGACCATGCTGTTCATCTAACCTGAAAGAGATTGATAGTATCTGTAGAGAAGAATGGAAGAGAATACCCTTAAATACCCTTTCTTTTCTTTCTTTTTGTGATACAACCTTTCTATTAATACATTTTTAATGCATAAGAGCTGCTGCCTTAATATTTCCAATAAAATCAAAACCAAATAGATAGATTTGAGGCACAGTATTTTTGACTTGATATTCTTAATGGACTTGTAAAAGAAGAAAATATTGGGTTGGTTTTGATAATCCTTTATTTTGGGTGTTATTTGTCAAAAATAGTATTCTGCTATTAATACTTATTACCACTCTGTTCTGTCAGTCGGGTATTTTCCAATAATATTGAACCATTTGAACCATTTCTTAGCATATAGAGAAAGAAATATTTTAGACCTTTTTTTTCTTGCTTTCCGCAGTGTCCTAGTAATTTGATTTTGTGTGTTGTTTTATTAGGTTATTTATATTGATTTGTTTATGACTTTTGAATCAAAATTCCATTTTAAGTCAAGCAGATTTTGAATGAAATCTCATAAGATATGACCCCTGCACTCTATCTAGGTTGCCAGGAAATCACAGATTTGACATCATATCAATCTGTGAGCATAAAGTTTGTTTCCAGTCTTCAACCTCAGCTGTAATGTTTCCTCAAAGGCTTAATTCATCTAACTTTTATTATACTTATTTTTGAAAATCGTTTTCGTCCATTATTAAATAACACTTACATGGTATATAGTGATTGTAATGGTAAGTCCAGCTTTGAGTTTTGCTCCTCACAGAACATAATGGCTACATAGATTAAAGTAGCTCATCCAGCTGTTGGTTGTGCTTTTAGAAAAAAAATGTTTTAACAGGAAGCTCGACCAGCTCACTTATGATTTTAGTGTAAATCTTGAGCAGAAATGAATAATTTATTTCATTAAACCAGATTGCAAAACAAACTAGTTAAGTTTGAAGATATTGCTGAAATATTGCAGAGCTTCTAAAGGTGGTGGTTATAAAGCCTTTAAAAAAATGTTTTTACATATTGAACTCCTTGCATGTTGCAATTGACATTTCTAATTCTTAGATTTAAAAGAGCAAGATGGAGTTTTATTTAGATTATTTTCATATCTTATTATTGACTAATTTATTAATTTATATCTTTCTTTACCACTTAGATGCTCCTTCAGACCAATGTAACAGTTTGGCTTGTTTACTTTTTAATGGTAATACCCCATCTTTATTTTCTCTTTAATTCTCATAGAGAAATTAGATTGGAACGATGGCCGAGCTTTCCACCTTGTCTCCTTCCCCACCACCACTTGGGGAACCAGCTGCGGCTCCATCTGTCGCTCCACCAGTGTTACCTGCTTCTAGCAGCCCCGGGTCTGCTGTGGAGGTGCCTGTACCTAAGTCTTCCCTCTACAACAACAAAGCTTTGACCGGAAACATTTCTTCAGTACTTTCATTAAGTTCATCCTTGATTGCTCAGCCTCCTAAAAGTTCCACTAAACCCACTGTAGACGCCACTGTACCATTATTGACACCAGAAGCTGCTCCTAAAACAGAGGAGCCTGTAGGAAATAAACAAGAGCCTGCCACCAGTGACCAAACTGCTCCAGATCTCTCGAATACTGATGTTAAAGAACTGGCAGCTCAGACAAAAGCTCTAGATGAATCATTATCTCCCGACTTAAATCCTGGTCCTAATCTCTCCCCAAATGTCCATGTTTCCTCTAACTCAATCCCCGTCGACATTGCTGCGCCTCAAACAAGTTCGGATATCATCCCAACACCTGCTCTTCCAACAGCAAGAGTAGAGGAGAAACCTCAGCCACCACCACAATCACAAAAACCTCAAAATGAGTCACCTTTTCTGTCCCCAAAGCATGTTCCTTTGAGCGATACTACACCGACCAGAGCAGCACCACATAGCCCAACTCTTCCTGTGATCCAAGAGCCAGCTGCCCCACTACCAAACCCCAAAATGGCCCCTGACAACCTAAGCTATCTGGACTCAGCCAGCCTGATGTCTGGGACACTGGAGTCCCTGTCTGGATTGGGAGAGGACGGGAGCTCTCTGGGCTCAGACTCTGAGATCAATGGCCTAACCATGAGACGCACTGATAAATATGGATTCCTGGGTGGGACTCAGTACAGCGAAGGAGCGTAAGTCACAAACTTATCACTACCACTCCCAGCTGTCAGGAAATAATACTGTTCATATGTTCTCCTGTTTTCTGTGTCACATATTCTGAAGCAAACATCAACTCTAGCTGAGTCATGTTCCCTTTGGACACCTGATCAGTGCTATAAGATATGAGCTGTGAAAAAGTATTTCCCCCTCTATAGAGCTATTCTATTTCAGCTTTTTAGTCACATCATAGAGTTTCAGATTATCACACAGATTTTAACATCAGATAAAAATGATTTTGGTGACGCAAAAGCCAGTTCACAAATGATGATATGATTTATAAAAGGAAAAATAATCAGAAACAATCTGGTTCTGAGTGAAAAGGTAAACTGATTAATTTAATCTTTTTTATTTTTTTTTATTTAAATGATGCATGTAGAATTAAGAAAATATATAAATGGACTAGGGCTGGGCGATAAGAAGATACATATCGTACGGACGATAGAAAAGTGTCTATCGTGCTAATTCTATTCTAGCGTTTCTATCGTTTCTAACACAATTGTATCTTGTATTCAAGCAAATATTTCCCTTGGTAGACTACGACGAACGTATTAGTGTAGCCATGTAGCCTACACACAGCTATCTTGATAAACAAGATTTTTTATTATTTTTCTTAATCCACAAAGAAGCGCCGTCCTGTGGTTTTGCAACATGACGCTTCTTTACGGCTTTTGACTCACACGCGGGTTTGCAACATGCTTTACGTTACTTAACTCATGAGAGATGGAGACGCAGGAGGCAGAAGTATTAAACCCAAACAAACAGAGACAGCTACGCAGGCAACCCAAGGTGAAGAAATTTTACCAATAAGAGGGCGCACATCTGTGATTTGGTTACATTTTGGATTTAAGAAGTCCAACACGGAGCAGACCACGCTCATTTGCAAACTATGCTACAAGACTGTTCCCTTACCCAACACGACAAACCTCTTCTATGACCTAATGAAGAACCACGGTAATTTAATTTAAGTACCCGTAGGATATTGAAAAAATGTGAAGGATACTGTGGCCCTACCTCCGCCTCATCTTATGCATATATATTGCTGCACTACTTTTTTTGTTTCTAATTTGTGACAGTTCTATAAATGTCACTTCAAAATAAAGTTGAAAAAGTAAGCAATTATATTGTTTTTTTCATATTTTTCAGAGATTTGCTGAAAATGTACTTAATTGGGGCGTATTGCGATATATATCGTTATTGTGATATAAAATAGTCCATATCGTGATATATGATTTTTTTACATATCGCCCAGCACTAAAATGGACCCTGTCTGACCCAACAAAGTAGGTTAAAAGATCAAAACATCATCCTTAGATCTGAAGAAATTTAAGAACAGATGAGAGCTTTTGTCACTGGCATCTATCAGTCAGCAAAGGTTATTTCTAAGGATTTGGTTCTCAAATGGACCACTTTAAGGGCTATTATCCACTAATGTGCAAGAGACATGATGGTGGTGAATCTTCTTAGGCAGAAAAAAAAGTTACTCGATGATCACTTGGACTCCTCCCCCAGTAGGTCATACTCAGAACATATTAAGTACCGCAGGCATCTCTCCCACTGGCGAGTTAAGCATTGAGTGCAGAATAAATGTTCAAGATGGCAGAATAAAACAAATGCATAGCAGAAATGATTTTGTTCGCTTTCAAACAATGTGTTGATAATGTTGCAGAGTGTTAGAGTACCTTGTTTTTTTTGGTGTCTCAGTGTGGATACTCATTGGCATGTCTCAGACTCTGCCATTACCTACCTGACACACGACTTCACCTCATTACTAGAATGAGATGTGGCCTGAAAATAAACATGCTGTTTATGCTGAAAAACTAGTAATTGTCATAGAGTCAAATCCTCCAGAGCAGTGTAGAAAGTAGTGGCCCGTTATCATAAGCCCTTGATGGAAGTTGTTGCTGCCAATTCTGGAACAGGTACTTATTAGCCTGAAGGGGGAATTATGTTTAAACACAGGTCCAAGTGAGCTTGGATGTCTTTTTTCGCTTCTTTGAAGGAAATCAGTTTTTGAACACTCATTTTTGTCTGATATTAAAATGTAGCTGATGGTCTAAAAGAATAAATTGTCAAAAAAAAAAATCAGTCATGGGTTAAATGCTTTTTCACTGCGCTTAGCTAAGAGCATGATGCGGAACATAATTCCTTTTATCATCCATTCATTCAAACGGAATTCTGTTCATTTTAGCTCGTAGAGAACATCTTTGCGTTTCTGCATCAGCTTGACTTTCTGCGCTTCTTTTTATTCTGGTGCACTAAACATATCTCTGTCCTTTATCTCTCCTTGGTCTGACTCAAATAGTGCTGAGAGCACTTTTGTGACTCAGTGTGTACTGACTGTCTGTCTGTGGTAAAACCTCCCCCCCACTAACACACACACACACACACCCATCAGCTTTCTTCCTATTATTTGGTCAGATTGGCTTCTGCTTATCTAACGCGCTAATTGCACTTCCACTGATAAGTAATTCTGGTTCTTTTGAGTTAAAGTTTCTGCTCTTAATGAGCTGCTCATCACTAACTCGTTTTAACAGGCAATTCCAAATGAATGTGAATATTGTAAAGAATAATCAATATTCAATATTTTTTTTCCTTTTTTGAAGATGTAACTTATATCTAACACAGGTTCAATACGCATAGAGTCTATAATTTTAAGCTTTTGTTTCTTGTATTTTTGATTATAATGGCTTACAAATTAAGCCAGGCATACACTGTGCGATTTTTTTTTTTCAATCGTTACACGCAGCTGCAGCTCATACTGGACGGCAATGTTTGTGCAGCACGGTGCACTGATGCGATCTACCTGCTCACACTGTAAAAACCACTTCAGATTCAGCTCCGCAGTGAGATGGAGCTACTCTGACTCATCTATCTGGAAGCCAAACAATTAGAAGAGGAATAGGAAGCTCACTAGAGTGAACCGCTCTGCCTTGGGAATTTGTGCAATTTTGTGCTAAAAGCCCTAAAAACAAAAGGCGACGAAGTATTTGGATAAAGACATGGCTGAGCAAATGTGGCTACTACGGTCTGACAATTTTATAGAAAGAACTCCATTTCACTCACACCCCCACCATGCTTCTGTGTTTTCATCTTAGAGGAAGAGGAAAAAGAAGAATCCTTGTATGCGCATGTTCACTGAGCGATTTGCCCACGACGGTGGGGAGACAATCAAACATGTTTGATTTTCTCCCATCCTCACGATTCCTGATCGGGAGGTGGTCGTGAGAGGCTGATCACCACTCGTTACCCCCGTACACTACACGATGTATGACGAACGATCAGGCTGAAAGTCGGCCCGATCGGAAAATTCTCGCACAACTGGAAAGTCGGCCCGAAAAGGGCAAAAAAATCGCACAGTGTAAGCCTGGCTTTATAAAAACCCCATGTAAATGTAACAGTCACTAACTTCACACACAAGGAGGGTATGCCAGAAAAGTTAATTAGTAAAGTGACTGGTTTTCAAATGGCTTCCTCATGTTGGTAAAGATGCACAAACAGCAGCGATAATGACGGCCGTGAGAAATCATGACAGTGACAAAAAGTTGAAAGGCTGTCGAGCAATATTCATGTCAGGATTGGAGGGATCTTCATAAAGAGTCGACTGAGGCTGGATTCAGCACAGCCATCTTACTCACTGTATCAATCCTTTTGCTCACTTTTGCTTTGTGGTCCAAAATCTTTTTTATTTTTCACTTTAAGGTTAAGTTTGCTTGTTTGAAATTAAGGTCCCAGGTCCCAGAGTCTGGAGGAAGGATTGGAGGATTAGAATCCCTGCTGCTTTAACACCAGGGTGAAGTTTGCACAGCCAGTGATGATTTGAAGGGTCATATCATCTACAGGTTTTGCCCCACTGGGTTTTCTAAAGTCCACATTGGACATACAGTCCAATTTAGAGCACTTTTTTTTTCTGCCGACCAGCTTTATGGAGATGCTGATTTCATATTCCAGTGAGACTTGGCACCTGCCAACACTCCTGAAGTTGTTATCTTACTGTGTTGAATGGGCCATTAAATAGGCCTGAAATGGACCATGTTAAAAACCCGAAGAGTAACATAGATGTACTGAGGTTTGTTATAAGAGCAACTAGGGTTTTGTTGCACCCTTAGCAAAACCACAGACTGATTTCCTTCATGCCATGCTGCACTGATGCAGTAATTCATGCAAACGGTGCCAAATCAAGTGTTGAATTCATAGATAAAGACATACTTTTATGAAGCCTAAAATCTTTGTTAAACAAGTATTCCTCTTTTATCTTACATAATATGTTAAATAAAATTTTTACGGGATATTGAATCCGGGGTTTTTATAAAAAATTTAAATCCTCAAACGATTAAAAGCTTTACATTTTTCAGTCTGTGGAGAATCTAACCTTCCACTTTCTGAAATAAGTAAAACAAAATGGTTTTTTTTTTCTCCATACATCATAATTGTAGGAATGAATCCCTCTGAATGTATCTATTTATTAATGTTTTCAAGGCTGCACTTTAAAATATGAAATTGTCTAGAGCTGTTCTAAACGAAATTTCTATTTATTTACACTTGTGTACACAAAAAGACATAATAAATCTAAGTCTCTAAGCCTAAGACATTAAGTTGTGTGACAGAGAACATTGTACCATTTGTCAATTAAAAATGAAATCATTCTTTTTTATTACCAACTATTTCAGCGATAAGAAAATTCAAGTCGAAGTTGCAAGGCAAAGGGAGATGAAATGGTTGGATATGTTTTGCCACTGGGACAAATGGGTCAAACATCGCTTTCAGAAGGTATGCAATGGGAATTGTTGAGTAGGATTTATATGGGATTCAAAAGTAAGGCCTTTTGTGTCTTGGATTGGTCGTACTTCACAGTGTCTCTATGAACTACAGGTGAAGCTGCGCTGCAGGAAGGGAATTCCATCTTCACTCCGGTCCAAAGCCTGGCAGTTACTGTCTGACAGCCAGAAGCTGCTCGAAGAAAACCCTGGGAAATTTGAGGTAAAGGGAATCATGTCCTCTTTTTTTTATTTTTTTATTGGAATAACTCTAAAATGGAAACCTTTAGATTTGTATAAATTTTAGAAATTCGAAACTCTTGAAATTATTATGATTATTCTTAAAGCTGCATCATCTAGTCAGACGGTGTGCACAATATCAGTATTGGAATAAAGAAGACAGAAATAAATAGCATTGAATTGTGAAGCTATTCATGCTTTATGCTGTTTGTTTAACAAACAGAAACGATTTTGGAAAGCCTTAAGATGCCTGGATAAAGTCTACCTACTGATTTGTTTTTATTGCAAAAGCAGCTGCTATACCCAAATGCAAGTTTTACTACGAATCCTTGCTGCAGGGATGGAAATGATGAATTAATTTATTCAATATAAGCTGGATAGACTCCTGACTGTCCTGGATCAATGTTTGTAAGGAACCCAAAGTTCCTAACAGTACAGTATTTATATATGTTTTCCACTTCATGTTGTCACTCTGAAATTTGCCATTGTTATTGCATGTTTTGATGTCATGCTGCTCTAATTATTTTTGATTAATACAATTTGATTAAAACCTTTAAAGTAGTGGCTCAGTAGAGCATTTTTAAATCTAGCTGTACTAAATGGTTGCAGACACAAACCAAAGAAGGTGTAAGCTCCTTATCAGGACTTGTAATCCTCTCTAAGGGCTGTTTTTTGTCCTGGTCAGAAGGTTTAATCCTTATTATTCCAAGAAACTATTTTCTTTTTAACTTAACTATGTTAAACATTTATGTCTGGAACCTGATGTAGAATTTCTCAACACGATTTCGAGCATTTAAGACCATAAACATGGAAGATTATGGTTTAAGTCTAAAGAGAGTCTATACTGAATCTAACCTTGATAATTCTTGTTTTTCCTAATTATTTTTACTGCAGGAGCTGGAGAGAGAACCAGGTGAGGCTAAATGGCTGGATATCATAGAGAAAGATCTTCATCGGCAGTTCCCTTTCCACGAGATGTTTGCTGCACGTGGAGGACATGGGTAAATTTCCAACATTAAACTTACATATTTAATTAATAAGGAACATGTTTCCCTTATGGTAACACATTTGTATTGAAAGTGATTCGTAAACATTAAGAAAGCGTTTTTGTTATCCAGTATGGTGGAAAATTTCACCTTTTGACCTCAGGACTCGTGATTTGACAATCATTCATCCCAAATGTATTCGCTTTTACAGACAACAAGATTTGTACCGAATCCTGAAGGCCTACACTGTCTATCGGCCTGATGAGGGTTACTGTCAGGCCCAGGCTCCAGTGGCTGCAGTGCTTCTCATGCACATGCCTGCAGAGGTGAGAGCTTCACCAAACCATTATTTATGTAAAGATTCTGTTAATTCTGCAAACTAGTAAAATTAATAATGCCTTTTGAAATGTTCATAGGTTAAGTTACCCAGAAGTTGTTACCCTTGTTAAAGCAATATGATTTATAATTTTATTTGACCTGTCAAAAGTTTCTGCGCTGAAGGAAATCTAGGAGATTTTAGGACATTTTACAACCAGAACCACCATTGTATTATTTGATGTGAGGGATTAAAACAAAAAGGTCAAAATGAAGGAAAAAGAACAAGCTTGATTGAAAATCTTTCCACCGACATCTTAGTAGATTTATGTCGTGTCTTTCAGCCGTTTGAACGCATGCTAAAGCACCCATGGTTGGGGTTGCTATATTTCTTAAAGTTGAACTATTTTCCCCTGTATCAAGCTTTGCTATCCAAACAGCTTTTGTCCCAAACAAACCTCAACATTGCTCCTCCAATCAGCTTTGACTAGCTTCCCTATCCCTGCAGAAGAAAAGCATCCCCACACCACAAAGCTTTCACTGCAATGTTTCATTATGAGGATGCTGAGATTTAGGTGTGGTGTTGGTTTTCAGTTACGCTTAGCTTTTCTGACTCATTTAACTTGATGACCCCTTAAAATTCTCTGCAGCTGTTAGATCTAGTTACACATATATGTTCCCCATTGAATCATGAGGTAAGGGGGTTGGTACAGAGTCTTAATTTATGTACCTTTCACAGTTATGTACTTCATTTGGTTGCACTCTTACCTAAAAGTGACGTTTGTCACTGTGGCATAATGTGTGAAGTTTCAAGCATTCCAACATGATGCAAGACAAAAGGACAGGAAGATTAGTTCATGTTATTGTGTCATATCCATAAAAATTGTCCTCTGCACTCACTCCTTGTTTAGTCAGAAATTGTATCATAATGATTTTTGGTGTCTACTTTGCGCCCACTCAGCTTACACGTGACGGAAGAGCGTGGGCACAGTGGAAAAAACAACCAGGCATGGCAGAAGGAACTCATAACGTAGTTCCCTATACAGATTTTTGAATAATACAAGAGCAAGGAATATGAGCTTTCACTGTCATATTTTGCATCCTTTTTAAAGAAATATATATGTGCACATATTAAATCTAACCTTTTTTCCGTTTTTGTGGTTGCTTTTGACGATAATTAGACGGGAAATGGACAGAAAGGGAAGGGGAAGAATTACCAGAAAAGTCGCAGTGTTAGGACTCCAGATGGTTACGTTGATAAATGTTAGCTTCTGTTTATGGTTCAAACTCTGCCCCTTAGCCAACCATCCACCCTAATCTTTTTTTAGCAAGTTATTTGTTATTTAAGGATGCAGAATATTAATAATAAGTATATAAAGATTTATCAAAACTTAGAAATAAAATGTGAATGCACCCTATATGTTTTTCCATGGTGAGCCTTTTTGTAATCCTTAAATGATGCCATTTATGGTTATTTGACAGCAAGCCTTTTGGTGCCTCGTCCAGATTTGCGAAAAGTATCTTCCTGGCTATTACAGCGCCGGGCTGGTGAGTGATTCAAACAATCTGTTTTTCTTCTTTGAGCTTCTCAGGGTGACTGATGATCCCTTTCATTCCGTTAGGAAGCGATTCAGCTGGATGGCGAGATCTTTTTCTCTCTTCTCCGACGTACATGTCCTATGGCATACCGCCATCTTAAGAAGTTCAAGATTGATCCAATCCTGTACATGACGGAGTGGTTCATGTGCATATTCTCACGCACCTTACCGTGGTCCTCTGTTCTGCGTGTCTGGGACATGTTTTTCTGTGAAGGTATAGTTCATTTTTAGCGCTAAACAAAGGAAATAACAGTGTTGTAAAAAGAAATTGATTAATTTATTCAGATTTAATCTTTTTTTTAATGTTTTTGTCCCAGTTTCATTCTTTGAGGTAATTAAATAAAATAAATGAAGGACAAAGATAACCAAAGTAAAAACAAATTCAATTTCATTTTTTTAAAGAGAAATGGCTTTTCAATCCAAACTGGTTTAATGTTAAAATTTCCACCATGTTAGATCATGGATTAGCTGGGATTAATATTAAATCCAATCCAGTTTTCCTAACAACACACAATCCTAAACATTACTTGACTGGAGACCACATGAATATAATGTCTCCAAAAACAAGAAAAAAAGCTAAGAAATGTTACATTTACCCTGATCTAAAGTAATTCAAGAATACTTATAAAAAGATTTGTTGACATTTTCATTCGGGATAATGGTTAAAATCTGTTATTATAGCTGTTCTGATGATCCCAAATATTTCTGTGGACTGGCGGAACAGAAGTGGAATTTTCTAGAATACCTGATGCATTGGATTTTTAAAAAGAACAACAACATATCTGAAATAGAACATCATATTTGGAGTCCGTCTTTGTGGAGCTGCTTTAGAATCAGGAGGGCGTCCTCGAATAATGGGAACATTAGTTCTGTTCTCTGCCAAGAATCTCCGAAAGAAGGATGTCCAGTCAACAGTTAGTCACCTATTTTCTGCTTAACATACAAAAATAAAGAAATTGGAAATAAGATTAACTGAAATGTAAAATATTGCTGTGTATTTACAAGTTTTTTTTTTGTGTTTAGAAAAGGATTTGCTTGTGCAGTGGGATGTGTGGAGGAGTTATGCAATATTTTTCAGTATTGTTTTGTTTACTTATTGGTTTGAAAGTATCATCACACTTGCTGTGAGGATAAACAATAATCTCTGTTATCCTCAGAATAGACAATAAGTAGGCGTCAGTTGAGCTTGAGAGGAAAAGGCTGTGCTGTTGCTCTTCTGTTCTAAACTTCACCAGGTTAATGGGTTTGATATCTAATACTTTCTTCCCAATCACTTCAAGTCTTAGTCTTATTAGTGTGCTTTAGTAAAAGAAAATAAGTTTAAATAATATTTCTAAGCATTGAGCGTGAACTGGATATCACTTTCTCTGCAAATAGGTAATTTTGTCCTGCATTGTTACTGAAAGTACAAGAAAGGACACAGCATACCGATCTGGGTCCCTCTACTCAGCACATATTGGATTTTCAATCTGGAGGCTTTTTTTACCAAATTCCCTGAGGATTTGTGATGTCATTTTGGGCTCTTTTTATTGTTCTATTTTAAATCTATTGATAAATTCTTGAAATTTTTTTTATCTTTAATCACTGCAGTAAACCATTAGCTGCCACCTTTATCTCTTGGCCATCTTTATCTCCCCTTTCTTCAACCTCAGACAAGGGTTTAGCTGTTACCTATTACCACATCGCTTTGATGTTTTATCTGTTGTTTTGTATTAACAAGGTCAGTTCTTTCAAAGCTCAGCAAGTGTTAGAATTCTGTTTTATGATAAACTGTACACGATATTGAAAAGAGGTCCATAGTGTAGAAACCCAGCATTTAAGGTTTTATAAACTTGAGTTATACAGCTGGACAACGAAAGCACACCCAACAAATCTACTTTTAAATGAATATATAGAATCTAAAGAGAGAAATAAATCAAATTCAGGATCTGGGATGGCCTATTCAAATGTAAACTTGAGAGGCTGTGGCATGACCCATGTGATCATGGGACCAGAAGTTAATTTTCATTACAATAAGGTTGGTTTCTTCAGCAAAAAAAGATTAAATGATGATTTGAAATCTTTTCTATGAAGTCATCTTTGTCTGATATGCATATTTATAACAGCTGGAAATTGTTTAAGATTTAAGTTTGCTTTTATTTTGTGTCCTTTGTTTAGTAAAACTGTATTCTTTAACTCCTTGGCTCTAGGAGTGAAGATAGTATTTCGTGTGGGCTTGGTGCTGCTGAAGCAGATGCTGGGCTCTGTAGATAAGCTCCGGGAACTGCAGGGCATGTACGAGACCATGGAGCGCCTCAGAAACATCTCACCCGATACTATCCTAGAGGACATACTTGTACAGGAGGTCAGTTTGAACTTTACAGGTTTGGTTCTGTTTTCACACACAGACTCGAGTTATGAGTCATTTTGCCATATAGAACCCAGTCTCAAACGTTTTACTTCCCTCTTTGTCTTGCTTGTTTGTGGATCCACAGATCATAACGCTCCCAGTGACGGACGCGCTCATTGAGAAGGAATGCAACATTCAGGTGAGGAAATGGAGGGAGTCTAGAGGGGAGCTGACCCACCAGCCAGGCCGCCGGCTCCACGGAACAAGAGACATCTATGAGTACAAGCGACGGGCTTCTGCCATCAGCTCAGGAGGGAGCTTTTCTTTCCTCGGAAGCCCAGCGCCACCCCCTGGACCCCTGCGAGCCTCTTCCAGCCTCCTCTCCCTCCCTGGCTTCCGTAAATCTCGGGCTCCTTTCCACTCCCAGCCTAAAAAAAGCTCCTTCTCCGGGCCTGCAGGGTTGGAAGGTTTTCCTCCCTACTCTCCTCCGGCTCTTGTCTCAAGCCAAAAACCACCTATTCCTCCAGGAGCAGGTCAGAAGGCGTCAGCACCACATGTTCAAAGCCCATTAGTTGGTGGCTCAGTTGGATCATCCCACGGGCCAGCTCCAGCTTCAGAGAGCACCTCCGCACAAAGCCAAGCGGCGCCTCCGGCACCCGCACAAAGCACACCTCCGCCTAACACACTGTCCCCCTCCCCTAAGATCGTCTCGGAGCAGATCACTCCCACCATCCCTTCTCCTACTGCTAACAACGCCCCTTTGCAACCAGAGCCCTCAAAAGAAGCAGCATCATCAGCGTCTGGAGAGGAAGAAGGGAAGAAAAAGAAGAAAAGCAAAGAAGATAAAAAGAAGGAAAAGGAAGATGAGAAGAAAAAGCTCAAAGAAAAGAAGGAGAAGGAAAAGCTTGAGAGGGAAAGGGCCAAGAAAGAAAAGGAGAGGCTAGAAAAGGAGAAAAGGAAAGGGGGCAAGAAGAAGGACAAAGGGGTTGCAGAGGCAGAAGAGAAGAACGGAGCTACAGCAGCGAGAGAATCAACCTAGTTTCTTCACCCAGTCATTTCATGATAATGAAAAGGGAAGATGGGAGAAAAAACAGGTCAAAAGAACAAAAGAGCTTCTGAAACGGTGATCAATTTCAAATCTGGGATGATTTCCTGTATGTTGCATCATTTTGGAGACTTTATATGTATCAAGGACTATGATGGAGACGACTGGATTGTTGTTTTAAAAGCACCTTGAGGTGTATTTAACTCTCTAAATGCTTTTTGTTTCCCTCACTTTGAGTTTTATTGACGTTGGATGCATTTTTATAACTGGAGCACAGACTTTCAATTGTTTTTTTGTTTTTTTCGCTGAAAAGCGTACATTCATTACTTTCTTTTTATTCTTTCTCAAGACTGATGGCAGAATTTAAAGAAACATGAGGGATGGGGTAGAAGCTGTAACATAGTACTTGATATTAATTTAAATTAAAACTTAGCCGCAGCTCACAGGGTTAACACTCCATGTTTTCTCTCAAGTCTTACCTGTGGAAAGGTTTAACTGGATCCATGGGGAAAATAAAGCAGCCATCTCAAATCGGGGCACTGAAGACAAACAAAAAAGGCTTTTTATGATGTTGAGGATATATTTATTGTCTTAGTAAATGTGTATGAGAGTGTGTGTGTGTGTGTGTGCGCCTTAGTAGAGTAGTGAAATGTGTCAATGTTCAGTGTGCGGTCCACTGCAGCCTGCTTTCTCTGTGTAATTTCAAACTAATGTCGAATCATTGCTGCAGTTCTTCCCAAAACATTAATTTATTCTTTAGTACAGATCTGATGGCTGATGAATACAGTGCCGCTCAGAACCCTTCGTTTCAGCCATTAATTGTTTCTGAGGGAAAATATGTATACAACAAGCAACTGCCAGGTAGTAAAAGAAAAAGAATACTTTGCAAAAAAGCTCATGTGATTTGGATTTAAGATTAACACACAGGCTCAGATATAAATACTCCACTAATATGTTTTCATGTTATATTTGCATGTTGCAGAGAACTTTTTTTTTTTTTTGCGACTCCTCTTATAGTTGTGCCTGGATTTTTGACCAGTTGAGGTAATAGTTAGCTTGTAGGAATGGGCCCTTTTTTTATTTAAAGCATAGTCCAGTTATTCTAATCAGGATTAAATCAGCTAAATGTTAGCCTGGATTATTCATTCCAAAATCAATTTGAATCTGTTTTCTAGTTTTAGATTTGAGATGGAATTAAGGTCTTTGAATATGGTCCAACTCCATTATTCCATCAGATCTCTCCAATGCACCAATACCACTGATGGTAGTGTGATGCTTCCAATAACATGCTTGACAGATGATTAATTGTACTTCTGTTTCAAAGCCTCAACTTGTTAATCCAGTCATTTTTGCATGATCATTTAGACATTTGGCTTGTCCAATTGTCTCTCTGAATGTTTGGTTCCAGTTTAAAGGCATGGATTTCAGAGCTGCAGCTTCTTTTTTGATAGCCCTGTTAGATTATGTCATCGTGGACAGTGACACTATCATCATCTTAAGGGTTATGATGGCCGACTGGATACTCCCCGAGTACTACTTGACCATAATCCATTCATTTAAAGGAATTCCCTCTTGCAAACTGGTTTTGGAGTTGGTAACGCTGGCTAACAATAAGCTTCCCAGTTAAAAATGTTTGGACTATGCTTTAAAGTTGAGTTTGTGATATAAAATTAGCCACTCAAAGGAGTCTAGCATTTATTTTGAGATGATTGGTTAAATATCTAAACAGAGTTAAGGGAGGAACTTGTCAAGACTTCAAACACCAAATGGTTTACTCTGCAGCTGGCTGTGGAGCATTTACCCAATAATTATAAATATAAAAAAAGATAAAATCTAGGCATCTAATTATCTATCATTATTTCTTTTTAAGTTGTGCATGTTTCCTCAGCCTGTCGAGGGTAGAGCTGCAAAGCTCAAAATGAATAACGTATCCCGATGAGAGTATGTAAACTTCTGAGCAGCACTGTAAAAACAAGGGCGATTAGAGCAGATGGAGGCACCATACAGTGATAGACGTTTTTAAATGGTGTTTCTGATCAGTGGTAAAATGATTAAGGATGATTTTGTGCTTTATTTCAGGCTTATATAAAAAGTGAAGTGTTTTCGACACCTTAGGTTAAACCAGGCATCCTCAAAGTCGGTCCTCGAGGGCCGCTGTCCTGCAGGTTTTGGAGGTTTCTCTGCTTTAGCACAGCTGATTATGACGACTGAAGTTGAGCAACAGCCTGTCAATCAGCTTTCAATTAAAATCAGCTGTGTTGGAGCAGGGAAACCTCTAAAACCTGCAGGACATTGGCCCTCGAGGACCGACTTTGGGGATGCCTGGGTTAAACCAATGTCCTTAAGCTAGTATTAATTATAATCCACTCATTTTATCCAATCGATTTTCAATATTTCTTAACCTAAATTCATTAACCAATGAGACTGTGAGTCTAGGTACATTAGAACAATGAAGGATGATTTTGCACTTGCACCATTGAAGTTATTAATTTATCAGTTTGGAAATCTCTGCCTTGAGGACCTGTAGGAAGGTACCAGGTTTGCCAATGTAGCGTTACCGTCTAACCTTGACCCGTATGGGCGTATTTATGTACAAAGGGGTTTATTTAATCAAATATAGTATATTATTAATTATTTTCATCTGACTATTTTTCTAAGAGGGATAGACACCTGGTGGACTGGAACGCTGATCAGCTGCAAAGTGTAGCAGCAGGAGGATCTTCTTTTGCACATCATATCCTCTGCTTTTACATGTCAAACTTGATGCATTTCTTTGCTTTTATTTAATTTTACACTTTGTTGGTTTCGGTCGAATTTTGTTCACAAGTCTCCAGGCCATCGTCATACAGTATTAAAGAGTTTAAAGGAAACAAACGGGCCACCTTCAGAACAAAGTGATACATTTGCTTCTTCGTACTGTAGCACATGTCAAAAAGTGTTTCATGGTTTTGAAGCGGCCCTTGAGATCCTCAGTGTGCCTGTTTCAGCAGTTTGTTTTAGCATTCATAATGAGTCTAACACTCTAATCTATTTACACTCAGTGTTTTGTACTGTAACATTTCTGCATACATTCAATGGCACCGAACCCTGTCATTATATGAAAAGTAGTGCCGGAAAATTGGTGTGAAATCATTTGGTGGCAAACGAAAGAACATTGACTCTGTAACTGTACTGTTTGGTAGTTGTTTAGTTGGTCTATCATGTAATTGTGTTTAACATGTCCTCCTTATGCATTGTTTTCCCCACTTTCATTCTCCTTCAAATCTCACACAATCCTACTTTGATCATAGATGCATATTAGTGTAACCCAACCACATCTATGCAAACCTCCTTCCATTATGACTGTTGATGTGTGCCGTGGCAGCAGCACTGATTTAATCTGCTGGAGGGGGGAAAATTGTGCTTCAGTAGTTTTTCCTGTGTAATTTCAGACGTTTCATGAGCAATACCTCCTCACAGCTCATGGCTTCTTAGACATCTCCTTTGTTTAGAAAGTGAAGGATGTGATGAAAATGAATCTAACAGTATTGTTAGATTCAGAACTTCGCTCTGCCACATCGAGGATAAGTAAAAACAATAAAATCTATCCTCTTCTGCGTTTCTCCATTAATGTTGAAGCTGCTTGTTATGCTTCGTTTGGGAATAACTCCACTCATGCAAGTACTTAAAGTGTTTCTCACCATGCCGTTACATCCGTTTGTGTCTTTTAAGTTTACATGTTTTTTCTCTGGCAAAAGTAAAATGAAATCATAGCTAAAAAAATAATTCATTCCTTCAAATTGAAAACTGATGTATTTATAATTAATGACAATAATGACAGTTGTGATGAGTAATAAACCGTAATATATTAAGTCATCAGGGTGTGTGGGTTTTTTTTCTTCCTCGATATGAGCAGTGATGAGGAATCATAAGACTAGGATAGATTACAAGAGATATTTATATATTGAAACAAGAAAAAGCAGCTTTTGTTTCTCATTGATTTAAGAGGGGTTAGAGGATTACAAACTAGAATGAAGATTTTCAAGGAGGGAATATCAATGTATAGTTAAGTGACAGTGAACTGAGGAAGAGCCAGAGGTGGCATGGATGAAGATGTTAATTTTCTCTTTATGAGTGATTATGATGATAGATAGGATCAGGGATGAGTACATTAGACCCCTAGGGGGTCCACAGAGGTACTGCATGAAGGTCGCGAAAGTTTTGGTTGATTAAAATTTCCACTTATTGAAATGTCTTTAAATCTACATTAAAATGAAACTAAAACTGTAGTAAACAGATAAATGCATGCAGAAGATGTCTTTCAATCATCAATGCACACATTCAGCGACACAAAGGAGCTCTTTCAAGCTGGACACAGTTTCATTCACAACACCTGTCCCATCAACCAGGAATGAGAATCAGAAATACCTTAATAACCACAGGGCGACATTACTTTTGTTGCATGACCCAATCTGTAATAGAGTGACTATAGGACCAGTTTGATATCACAATTTCAATAATTAGTGGGTCCCCGCTCCATCTCGCCATCAGTTTGGCGGTCCTTGGCCCTGGAAGACCCCTGCATTAGAGGGTTAACTCATTAGGAAGATGAAGCAAAACTGAGATGGATTTGACATGTAGAAAAAAAAAGGATAGTGAGTACATAAGTGGACGGATATTGAGACTGGAGGCTGCCAGATAAAGCCAAGGGGAAGATTTATAGAGGAAAAAACAAAAAAACTCTATTTTTTTAATCTTTAAGTATCTTGTCAATTGAAAGAGAAATTAACGTTGTTCATGTTATGCAGAAGACAAAGTGTGTATGGCAGCCTGATGCTACAGGATGTCCTTAACCCCCTATATTTGATGCAGAATCATCTCCAAAGGTTCTAGAGTAGTCCCCAGAGCAACCAGCCTTTATTTGATTAAATCACAAACTAGTATTTTCTGTGGCTATCAAAATATATATTGTTTAATTCCAGCCTCCCGTCACATGTTGAAGTGTCACAGGAGAGAAAAATCTTGTGATGCAGATGTTGGTTAATATTATGATGTGACGGAGATAATAGCTGCTTCTTTTCTTTCCTCACTTTTTAATACGCACTTCCATCACTGCATGGCCTTCCACATTTTGGAAATGCCCTTTTTTCCTGGTGTTAGTATTTTCTTCTATTAGATTCTCCACAAATAAATATGTAATAATGTTTGATGCAACATAACCCTTGAAATATATAGGCGAGCAATTATTTTGCTCTGAGCAGTCCTTTTTAAGTGTAGCACACGTGGATATTAAAATGATATATGGCACAGCCTTCTATCAGTATAATTTTAGCAAAAAATCTGAGAAGATGAAAAGGCTTAATGCTATTAAATATTTTAAATCCTTTTACAGTAAAACTTTTTTTTCTCTTAAATGCTGTTTGGAATAGGCTGGAGGGGCTGAAAATAAATGAATATAAAAACTAGCACATCTTTTATCAGTAAATTTAAATTAAATATTTTTCTACTGAAAAGATTATTCCTGAGCTCTAATTTTTTAAATTATTTCTCAGTAATTCTTTTAAGGTTTTATCCTTCAAGATGTAAAAATGACAGTTTAAAATGAGATTTGATTTAATATGTAGATAGTCTATAGTGTTATTCTTAATTTTCTTTTCTATTCTAAATAGACTTATTTTAATAATGAATTGTTGTGCTCTTAGAGAGGAATAGTTGGCAGGTCAGGTCATTTAAGTTTCTACCGTGCCTTACAGAGCCACTGAACAAGCACACATTGTAAAAAAGCAAAGTGGTTTTATTCACATTTTTGTCCCTTTATTCATTACAGAGGAAAGGCATTGAAGGTTAGTTACTGGATCTCAGACCGCTTATGGAAAACAAGATGATTCAACGAAAGCAGGAAGGAGTGGAGGGAAGGAAAACGAAGACGTTAATGTTTTCTTTCGTCCCGTTCTCCCCATTCCTTCAGCTGGTTATTTTCACTTTTCAAGAAAGAAAAAACTGGCATCGCTTTAAGGATGCAACCTTAAATACTCTCACTCCTCTCACTGCTTACAAGCAAAAGGACGTTCTCATACTTTAGAATAAAGTCCTCATGATTGGCAAGCCCCTCTTAAATAAC